TTCAATGATTATGATCTTGATTAACTCAAAGTCTTAACATTCTCTTGCTGTTGTCATCGTTACTGAAAAACTATACATTATTTAGTAACAACAAGGTTACTTTACTTTTCAAATTTAACCTAAGATATTTGGTAAAAAATTTAATAGAACAATAAAAAACATTCTTATAATAATAAATACAATTAATAATAATTCAAACATCTATCTTTTTGTTATATATGGTAAAGTAGTTACCAAACTGCAAGCCAATACATATAACACACCAAAGAAAAGATTCAATTTGGCAGTTTTTTTTGGAACACTATGAATGTCTTTAGACCTGAACTGTTTCTCTATTTTGAATGCTCCTGGTAAGGTAATCAAAGGCAACATGAACCATTTTGAGTATTTTAGAGAAGCTACCATGAACATTATGTAAGGAGTGAACAGCAAAAATGCATAAAGTACATGTGAAGCAGTATGTCCAATTATGATTGCTACAGTTACTATTCCTACTTTTTTATCTGATTCTGAATCCCTGGTATTGTTACTATGAAGAATAGCTTCTGTGTTCAAAGCAAGAGGTATGGCATAATAGATAGTTGCCCATTCTACTCTCCCAGTTTGAGACATAAATGCAAAAAGCACAGAAATTGGACCAAATATAATCAAAATCAGAACATCCCCTAGAGCTATATACTTGAAACCAATACCTCCAGTGTATAAGAAACTTGAAGACAATCCTCCAAAGTAGACCAGTGCCAAATGTTCCATTTTGGCTGGTGATATACTGGCCAAGAGTATGAATCCTACACATCCAGCAAAATATAACATGGCTCCAAGGGAAACCACTTCATCTTTTGTGAGCAGGTGATCCACAAGTATTCTGTCATCTGATTTTCTGTTATCAATGCCTTTCACATAATCAAAATATGTATTGACAACATTTCCAGCTCCATGCACAGACACTACAGTGAACAAAGTCAGTAATAGGGTAATGTAGTTGAATTCAGAGGTTCCTGGATATTTGTATGCTAATGTAGCGCCCAATAAAGTTGGCATCAAACTTGCACTAAGTGACCAGGGCCGCAGAGCTAAAACATAGCTTGAGAGTTTCATTAATCCAGATTTGGGTTTTTGCTCTGAAGTGTCTTTAGAGGTTTCTCCATTTGTAATCAATGTATAATTTTCTGTCATATCGGCTGAGTACAGTACTTTTTTATACTGTAGTTACTAAAAGTTCCTCTCAAATAAGGAAATTTAGATCTTTCTGGTCCTGGCCATATTTTCAATCGTTTTCGCAAAAAAGTTTCTGTTCTGCTTTAGACCTTTTCAGTATTTCAACATTTTCAATTTTCAACTGTGTCATAACAATCATAACCTCAATTCACGTCTCTCACGACAATCGACATTTGACATTTGTCGACAGGTCTGGTAACATTGGTAACAAGTCTGGTAACACCCAAGGATCGTAAATCCATAACACCCAGCAGGTCAAGGTAACACCCTATCCTTGGGTAAGGTAACATCGACTAACAAGCGTCTAGCTAGACCAGCGATTCTTTCAAATCACAGGGTTATTCGTGTTATATGAAGAAGGAAAATATCTTTTCTGCATGAAAAAAGGAATGTACTTTCAACCTAACTTGTCTTAAATTAACCTCTTTCCTGAAAAATGTATTTTCGAAAAATTTAATAGGTCGCGTGCAAGAACTGTCAGATGACCGACCCTGGAGGCAAAACATATTTGTTTACAAGTGATCGAAATAGTTTTCCACAATTATTTTGGCATATGAATCGTATTTTGCCGCTATTCATCAATTCGCTAATGCCATCACATTGTGCTGTTGTAAAATGCACAAAAACTGCAGCGGAATCCGGATGGTACATTATGATTCAAAAGTAAGTACCTACTATAGTCACTCACATAGTTTTCATTTTTGAAACTTGGTTATTTCTCTGATTTCTCATCGGAATTCCTTCTGCAATAGGATCAGCTAATAGAAATATACCTGAAATTTCTAGAATAATGCAAGAAGATTGAATTCATGCAATCAATCGGTGGGACTGGTCTGACATTCTGACGATCGTGTGTGTTGTAGACATTTTCAATCTATTAGCAGCATTAGCTTGTATTGCAGAAGTGGTAGAAGGCAGAAGGAATTTTAATAAGGAATGACAACATTTCATAATGCTAACTATGTGAGATTACGATTTACCTGAAAAATCATATTCCCTAGTCTCTTGCTGCATTTTTTGTGCATTGTACAACAGCACAATGCGAAGGCATGCTTGAATTAATGAATAACGCAAGAAACACGATTCGTATATCAAAATATTGTGAAAAACTATTTCAACCTTTTGATTTCTCTGTAACCAAATAAAAAAGTGGGGTTGTGTTTCGATAATTCACAGAAGAATGAGGTTGTGTTTCAATATTTTGCCTCCAGGGTCGGTCTTCGTGCACGCGACCTATTGAGTGAAAATAGTTTAAAAAAAAATTGCCGCCCCGCAGTATAAAGAAAAAAATCTCACGTGTTGTGGGTGACGTCACTTGACCTCGATGTTCGAAAGATTTGCTGTGGTCTAGATAGAAGCTTGTTACCGACTATGACGTTTTCGGAAAATTACTGGGGTTGATGCGTTCCCTAAAATGCTGAACGTTCGGTTACCTAAACCATCGAATATCCAGAAAATTGATATTCGATGCCTAAATCTAGTCACCTACCTCTGTTCGGAAACTTGAGTCATGCTTACATTGCTAAAGTCGATCACTGACTCGGATTGATTTTTCGTGACTCTACTCAAAAGCAGGGTCGCCAGAGTCGCATAGGACATCGCTTCCGGATTAGCAGAATAGAAACTAAAAATAGTTTGCATGTTGAGACAAATTTCAATCGGTGATGTACATTTTCTTTTTAATCTCCATAATTTGATTTGGAAGTCATGATTTTTTTGTGAATCCAGGGAATAGTAGAGAGGTACGAAAGTATTGATGTTCAATGTTTTCTTTCATTTTTCAGGATTGATTTTCCTCTTCAAGTATTAAATAAAGAGCCATTACAACTCCGCCGGTTCAATATCACAAAGGACAAAACCAAAGCAACTAAGAAAAGCCGTAAAGGTTCACATTGAAATTTTGTGATGAGAATGATGTTTGCTTCAGTTCAATTCACGTTCAATTTCAGTTCTTCACCAATTAGAATATTAAACGCTCGACTAAACGTAATAAGCAAAAAGTAAAAGTGTGGTTGTGAACGCCGCTTTAAATAATTTCAAAATACGAAAGCGTATTATAAGGGCCACAAAAAACCCTGAATTTTTTTTATTAGTGCTATTCGATAGTACACGTCGAGCTTCCTCAGTGTTAAAAATATTTGCACTTATTTCAATGCCACCCTGTAGTATCGATACCCACCAGTATCGATGTTTTCCGACCTCTACTCATGGGTATCTGAACTCTAGCCCGGACGGCGGTTGTTGTGGTGTTGACACTTGACAGGTATCTAGTAGCAAATCTTTTAAAAAATTTGAAATATAATATTTGATAATATTTAATTTATATTTATAAAGGCTGTATGACACCTGTTAAAATTGATGACAAATATGTTAACAAAAATGTAAAAATGATGACCAAAATATTTTTTATGTCAGACAACAGTGAAAAAGGTGTTGATTTTGCTCAGATTTGCAAACATTCTTGTGAAAATAAAAGACTGATGGTTCTAAAGGTGGATTCATGCAAGCAAAATTCAAAACTTTAATGAATTTCAAACTTAAACCAATAATATAAAACTATGAAATGTAATTTAGGTGCTCATGCAAGAAACTAAAAAATTAAAACTAAAATTAAAACTAAGGAAGATGGTCAACATAAATATTTTGATATCATAAATATTCTTGTGTATATTTCTACCTATGACCTAATCAGAACAGTAATATTAATTACTCCTGAAAATTGTAAAATGCTGTTGCATATAAGTATTGAGGTTTATGCTACTGTGGTCCTAAATATTGAGTTCATTGGGTCCTAAGTATAGGTTTATCAGTATATTATGACATCAGCCATGCATCAGCCTATACATCAGCTTAAACTGGTGAAAAGCAGGTTAGGTTCACCTTATTTGGTTAAATAAAGGATTGATCTGAATGCAATAAATATTTCAAAAAACTTTATTATGCAGCCCATTTCAAACACCTGGTATCCATATGAGTGTCCATGCACCGTATACTACAATATCTAGTACCACAAGACAAACAATTGTATTGTCCTAAAAATCCACAGACAGCACAAAAATGGCGAGGAGGAAGGGGAGACTCTTCACACTGGATATCCATATATGAAACCCTCTTGTTTAGTTCAGCTTCTGCTCTATCTTCATCCACCAACTGTTGAAAGTTTTTCCTATACTTGAATTGATAGTATTCAGTTGTGCGTTCCTTCTTCTTTGTACGAGTGTTTCTGTGTTCTAAGTTGTCATCAAATTTTGGTATTTTTTTACTCATCACTAGGTCTGCATGGGGATCATCATGATAGTTATCAGACTCAAGGAGTTCCATTATTTTACGATGTCTTCGCTTGCGCGAAGTCTCATCCACAATCCTCCTTTTGTCATTTTCTTTGATGCGGTTGGAACCACGTAAAGTTGATTTTGAAATAGTCATTTTGATTATTTGATTTATCAGATATGTACTAATCAATTATCCACTTTTCTCTGCCAATGGGAAGCTAATTTGATCCATTAAATCATCAATTTTTGCTTGCAGTGTATCCAGAATATCTGCTGAAATGAACAAATGATTTTCATCTAAATCCTGTATTATAAATTTTCTTCCAAGCTTGAGTGTTTCATCCAGATGTAGTAAAAATTGTTTCATAGCCTGGTCACTAAAAAATACTAATTTATAAGTTTGAAATAAGTAGGTGCCAATAAGAATATCATGAAATGATTTTGGATATATTTTGAAGATTATTTTCTATTTTTAGATTGCTAAAATTACTGTTTATCTGAAAACCTAAAATGTCCAAAAAAGGGGTGAGTGCTGAAGAAAAGAGAACTAGAATGCTTCAACTATTTTACGAAAAGGGAGAATGTTTTCAATTGAAAGTAAAACTACAAAAATAATAATAATTATTCTTATCATTTCTGAATAAATGCCAATTTTTTTAGGAATTGGAAAAGATAGCTCCAAAGGAAAAAGGCATTGTTGCAAATTCAGTAAAAGAAGTAATACAAAAATTAGTAGAAGATGGCTTGGTAGATACTGACAAAATTGGAACTTCTGTGTATTTTTGGGCGTTTCCCAGGTAATTATTTAATAATTATCTAATACATAAAATTATCCTGTTCCAGTTAGTAGCCAAACTCCTCCGGAACGGATCGACCGATTCCAATGAAAATGTTTGTGCGTATTCGGTAGGTATGAGAATCGGTCGTAATCTGTTTTTTATATCGAAAATTCAAAATGGAGGATTTAATATGGCGGATGAGTTTTGTAATCCGATTATTCAAAATTGGTATCTGGGATCTGGGGATTTGGGGTCGGAGATTATGATTCATTCATCAATAATAGAAAATTCAAAATGGCGGATCCAATAGGGCGGACGAGTTATTTAATTATGTTCCAATTCTATTCAAAATTGGTATGGGGTTTTCGGGGTCGGAGATTATGATTTATTCGTCGAAATTAGGAAATTCAAAATGGCGGATATATTTCTGTGATCACAAAAAACTGAAGAAAACATAAAAAGCAGGGTGATCCATTAATAAATAATAATTTGTGGTTTATCAAGCTTTCAGGGATCACCAAGGGCTTTGAAAAGGTATCATTGCTGCATTCAACTTCCACATATTGTTTTTTTTCTTGATGAAAAATAATAAGGTAAATATAGGGGTGGGCATTTTTAATATGGATCACCCTGTACTCATAGTTTACACACTTTACTTCTATATCAATTTTCTAGTAAGGCTGTCAATTCAAGAAAGCATCAACTTGAGGATCTTCAAAATAAATATGCAGAATCTATGAAGAAGCTGAGGATGATAGAAAAAACAGTAGAGGAGTCTAAGGTACTTTAGATTCAAACAAATTTTATTTCTGAGCATGGGTGTTTCTATCAAATGAATCACAGATCTGAGGGCGTCGCCAGGGGGGGGGGCTGAAAAAAAAAGGAATAGTGACCAGAAGATTTTGAAATTTGGTAGGTAAGCCCAAGTCCTAGACAAGGGTCTATGTGTATGTGTCCTAAATGTTGATGTAAACAACTTTCACTAAGTTTTTGTTGTCATAGATGAAAACCCAAAGTCATCTCCACAACATTTATTAGAATGATCAAAGACCAATCTCAAAGGAACATGTTTCGGGCTTATATAAGCCCATCATCAGCCAATAGAAAATATTATAGTTCTAGAATATATATGAACTACACCACTCCACTTTGAGTTATCATGGACTTCTTCCAAAGATTACTCTTTTTTGTATTTGCCACATGGAAGTCAAAATAGGTTTATGAAAATTGCCAAGACATACCTAATATTTCAAAACTGAAATTATGCTGAAAAGTAAAATAATCAATCACACACAGATACATTCACTGTATATTTGATAAAATAGTTTAGGGTGCTTTTTTGGCACATGAAATGTAGCAATGGTTGTAAAAAAACAGTTTTCAATGTAGAGGAATTTCACATTGATCAAGAAAAAATCCTTTTCTGGCGACGCTCATTCAAGATCTGTACCACTGGACACACTGTACATAATATGTATGAAATACCTTGAGATTCTGGAAATTATTTAGTAGAGTCCGACCACGATAACTTTGGGACAGCACGTGGTCGCGTATGCATTGAATATGCATATGCGTTATGCGTCACTGCTGTCCCAAAGTTAACGTGGTCGGACTCTACCTAAGAAAATATAAGTATGAACATAAGGAAATGGTTATTCCAATGATTGTACAATTGTACATTTATTCAGGAAAATGATGATGTTGAAGAAAAAAGAAATAGTATTTTGGAAGAAATAAATGATAAGGAGTTGGAATTGAATGTTTTGAAACAGGAACTCAGGCAGTACCAAGAGAATGATCCACAGAAATTTGAGGCACTTATACAGAAATCAGAGGTGAGTAAATATCCTTTGGAGTATAAATATTGAGTAGATATGTATCACATTGCTAGTAAGGTACTCATTTTTTTTAAATATTTGTAGGAACTGAAAGAAGCTGCAAATAGATGGACCGATAATGTATTTGCAGTAAAATCATGGTGTAAAAAGAAATTCAATATTGAAGACAATGTTCTGAACAAACAGTTTGGTATACCTGAGGAGTTTGATTATATTGAATAATTAATTTGTAATACTAGGTAAAGTATAAGTTCTTAAGTCATAAGGTTTGGCTAGTGATTTAATTTGATATAGATTTACAATATACAGCTCCAACCTCGGCTCCAACTCTAGATAGTTTTGTTTAAAATGTACCTACCTATTTCATGCCTCTCTGTCCATTACCTGTACTTTTTAAAAGTTTTTTATAAGCTATATGGAAGGAAGAACGTCAGGAGGAAGGGTCAGGAGCTAGTATTTATGGGGCCAAGCAAAGCACATGAATATCAGGCAGAAATTATTGCAATACATCAGTGCCTGAAGTAATTGATAAGGCAAGAGTTTAAAGGGAAAACCATTGCAATCTATTCTGATAGCCAGGCATCAATCAAAGCATTCAACTCAATGCAAGTTAACTCAAAGCTAGTATGGGACTGCTCAGAAACTCTAAATGAACTGGGCAGTCAGAACATAATGACTGGCAAGAGTTTATTAAAAAAACCATTGCCAACATTCACAGAATATCTACTGAGCCAGAAATGAAGTACAACTAGAATACTATAGTGGGACTTCTCACAGGGCATTGTAGGCTCACCAAACAGAATGAGTATGATAGGACTGACAGACGAACTGCTGTGCAGGTTCTGTCAGGAAGAGGATGAAACAGCTGTACACATACTTTGCCACTGTGAGGGCATGTCAAGACTAAGGTTCCTCATGCTGGGTGAGGAAAAACCAAGAGTCCAAAGTTACACAGGGGATCTGAAAGCTAGTCTATGGAGTCTCATAGAGAAGGCTGGCTAGCCAAAGAACTCCTAAACGGTTTTGAGGTCAGGCACAATAGATCTGAAAAGGTCATGGTATGGAGGCAGATAGCCTGAAGGCCCCACTCTAAATCTAATCTACATATTCATTATATTTCTCTATGTAGATACATGACCAGTTCCCAAATTAATCGATTCTATGAAGATTGAAGATATAGAGGACCAACTTTTGTGATGTTTAATGTACAGTCAGATGCAATGAAAATGTCACAATGGGAGGTGATATAGCACATACTTCTAGCAACTTCTGCAACACGATCCAACCGCGGCAAGTTCTTTGCATCTGATTGTAGTTGGTGATAATATAATATTGTTTCATAGTTCCACCTAATGTGAACCATTTTCAAGTACCTAGGTTTTACCAGGGAAGAGGTTTTACCAATTTCCTTATTCTGAGTCTACCCATAAACAAGAGAGTAGTTGATGATTCTGTGATTCTACCACGAGAATTTACTCACCACTTAACTAACACTCCTTTCATAACATTAACCATGATTGCATGCAAAATGCGAGACTTGCAAGAGTTGCAAGAATATTGCAATCATTGACTTTTTATGACTTCTGTATTTTGACAGTTGAAAATGAGGTCCAAAAAACCGCGCCACCAAAACATCTCCTCTTTGACCAAAACAGAGTCATTTGGCTTGGTTTGGTTTGGTCACAGAATACTCAACAATCTTGGTCGCATGCTTGGTCGTGACAGAAACAGGATACAGTCGTCCTTTTAAAAAGAGAGGTTTTTGACAACTTATCGACAACTTTACTGTCAACATTTGGCAAACAATTTCTCTCTGTGATACACAAATACGCTTTTTGTTTAATACGACTGTACTTGTGAGTAGGAACATGTAAATACAAATATATATCTAAATAGTACATATATGAGTACAAAGCAACTTTCCGCGGTAATCAAGGTCATCATCTGACGTTGCGATGACAAGAAAACTGCCGACGTAGGGAAAAAATAATACGAAATTTGTGAAATCAATATCGTCAATATGGCTGTTACCTCTGATTTTGGTCCCATTTTTGTTGAAATATTGAATAGGCGATGCGCTATATATATAAATAATAGATATGAGAATGCATAATCTGACATTTCTGACGTCAAAGTCACGGAAAGCTGTCTGGTCACAGAACTCAAATGTTCTGAATCAGTTTTCACCGGGAATGTTCAAATTCGTTAATATGACAAGCAAATATAATGGACCAGAGTTATTTACATTGAAAAAATATAAACTTGTTTTTCTGGGAGAACAAAGTGTTGGAAAAACGTCTATCATTACAAGATTTATGTATGACAATTTTGATGCCAATTATCAGGCCACGATAGGAATAGACTTCCTGTCCAAAACAGTGTATTTGGAAGATAAAGCTATAAGACTGCAATTGTGGGATACTGCAGGACAGGAACGCTTCAGAACTCTAATACCATCATACATCCGAGACTCTGCAGTTGCTGTTGTTGTTTATGATATTACAAACTTCACTTCCTTTGAACAAACCACAAAGTGGATAAAGGATGTGAGGAAAGAACGAGGAGATGATGTCATAATTATGTTAGTTGGCAATAAAGTAGACCTCGAGAATTTGAGAGAGGTACCAAATGGAGTTGCTGAACAACAAGCAAAAAATTTAGGAATATTGTTCATTGAAACTAGTGCAAAAGTTGGATACAATATAAAACTCTTATTCAGAAGAATTGGAGAAGCTTTACCTGATACTGATTCAGTTATTTTAGGCATTGATGATACACAAGAGATTAAGTTGGAAAAGTCACCAACAGATAGTGTTATGAATAATACACACTGTTTCTGTTAAAACAAGTATTTTTATAGTTTCTATGTAATGTTTCATTAATTATATTTCAACAATGATACCTACTATTTTCATTTCTGTACACTTCTCAAGTTTAATCAGTCTTGATAATTTTAGCTAAATCTCACAGTTCACTGTAATAGTCAACATATATAATGATTGTACATCACTTTTTGCTTTCTTCAGATTCTCTAGTAAGAATTTGTTTTTCTACTTTTTCAAAGTGACTCTCTGATAATTTTTCACCTTCATCAATGACTTGTTCTACACCCAAAACCTCTGGAATATAAAACTGCATCATATTCTGCACACCATTTTTGAGGGTAACAATTGAGCTTGGACAGCTAGAACATGCTCCTTGCATTTTCAATTTCACAATGCCATCTTCAAATCCAACAAAGATAATGTCTCCTAAAAAGAAACAAGGAAATAAAAAATTTGGACCACATTTTAGATCCCAGGGTACAAGTTATAAACCTTTGAGAGAAAATTATATTGGTATAAGGTATTAAAATTACCCCCATCTTCTTGAACAGTTGGTCTTATTCTTGTGTCCAAGAGTTCTTTTATCATCTGTACTGTTTCATCATCATCCTCATAAACTTCTGAAATTCATGAAAAACATGAAAGAAAAGAATATCAACATAAAATATGGATAACATTCCCACCTGTATCTTTGTTTGGTGTTGCATCATTCAAGACAGGCAGACCACTTGCAAAGAAATCCATGATTATAGCAAACACTTCAGGTTTTAACAGTTTCCATTCAACATCATCATCAGTTTTCGTAACTGTTATAAAATCAGGTCCAAGGAAAATACTCTTTACTCCTTCAACTCGAAAAAGCATCTTTCCTAATGGTGAACAGTGAGTACTCTGACCTGTTGGAAAATCAATAGTCTGGCCTGGTTCTAAAACTTGCACCCCAGGTAGAAATTTGAGGCTATTTGGATTAGGTGTTTCTTGGGTTTGAATAAACATTCTCCATATTTGTGAGAGATGTATATTTCGAAATTGTGTTCCTGGTAACAATGAGAAGGATTTCCTGAAGGAATGTTTAGTAAACCAATGAATTATTTAATACTATTACAAACCTTTTGCACAATTTCGATCGACTTGTAGTAATTTTCGCCACATGATGAAAATATTGAAAGGAACTGCGCCACATTCTACACTTTTGTTTCAAAAAGTTTCATATATTTTGGTCGGGGGTCATGTCAAATAATGATCATAAACAAATTTTTTTGCAGGTTAGGTTTCATCATCTTTTAGGTTATGTCTTCTTCAGTTCTGAGAAACTAACAATTAACACCTCCAGACATGAGACAAATGCTCAATAGAATTCATATCTGGTGATATGGGTGGCCATTGATTTCCCTTGCTACTTCGTAAATGATACATTTTTTTATCGCTTGGTGCGCACGAAACGGAATCCATTGAGGCTCGATCGATAATGACGGTTATTTGTTCCAACAAATCACCGACCTGAATCACAATTAGGGTAAATGTACTATGGTATATTCGACCAGTTAACTGATATTTTGGTTTCAAAACATGCCATAATAAATCTAAGAAATATTAATAAAACTTCGAAAATTATTGTGTTATGTGTTGATATAATCATTTTTCCAATGAATTAACTGTATTAATACTTATATATATATTAATACTATTAATTTTATAAATATCCATGAATCATAAATTAATGTATAGAAAATATCTATAGTAGTCGATCACAAAAATCTAAGTCCGATCGGTTCTCTCCCAAAAGTCTACCGACTCATGCTGAATACTTATACTCGAAGAGTTTGGGTAACAATAAAAAAATATTTGTATTTGTAGCAATAATTGTAATCGAAACTTAAAATACACTTGTGACATTTCCTTTATTGGCTACTTAAAAACTTTCATCTACTCACTGCATGCATCGAAAGTAATAAATAAAGCGTCTGCTCTGATCTGATGCTCCTTCACACAATTCTGTCAATTTACTGCTCCTACTTAGCAGTCTTAGCACGTAAAAAGTTATACGTAAACCACACCGAGCGACTGTTTTCTGGTGGGGGGGGGAGGGTGGAAATAAGTAGGAAATTTATTTTCTCAAAAAGGTTCATATTTCAGTTTCAGAGAACTATGTATTGATTGAAATATTCTGCTTGTGGTGAAAAAAAAAATATACAGCTTTTGATAGTAAAGAATAATATTACCACGGGACCTTTATATACCCCGGCCTCGGCTGAAGCCTCAGGATCTAATCTTGGTCCCTGAGTAATACTGACATTCTTCACTACCTAGGTGTTAGGTGTACAAATAACTATTTTGATAAACCTCTCCCCGCAACATCAGTAATATACCCCCACCGAAGATTGAAGAAAGGAACGGTTTTCCTTTTTTATTAATTTTCCCTGTATATTGAGCAAAAGATACGAAACTTCGTATATATTATTTATCACTGAATTTGAGATGTTTCCAACTTTACTTAGAAGGGGTTGAAATATTCAACCTCTAAGATATTTTTTCTTACAATTTTTTTTTTTGAAGAATATTTGCCATTCAAAAAAACATTGCTGAAAAGCCCAAACTTACTAACTTTTTCATCAATAAAAGTTGTTTTGAAAACAAGCGTTTGCCATGTTTTTTTAAAAGTTGTAATTTTTTTCCCTCCATATCTCTGTAACCGTTCATTGTTTTGACCTGATGAACTCGAATTTGTGAAAATATACAGGGTGTTCAGTTTGAAAAAAAAATTGTTAGCCTTTTCAGTAAAATCGGAAGTCCGCCATATTCAATTGTGATGTGATCAAATCCGAAAAGGTTGCTTGTTTTCAGAAAAGTCCGTTTACGAATGCAGAAGGTTCATAGGTGGTTAGATACTCTGTGTCACCCGGTATATATTTATAGTAAAAATGATATGAAGTTATTATAATTTGGGAAATCTTTATTTAGGACAACTTTCTCTAGATGACATATAATTTGTTAGGTCGTATATTCGATTCGCGAATCCCATTTCACTATCATACCAAGCAAACACTTTCACCATACATTTTGATAGTGCCACCCCTGCTTTTGCATCGAAAACACAGGAATGGGGGTCACCAATTATATCGGTGCTGACAAGATTTTCTTCAGAATATTTCAAAATATTTTTCAAATAACCCTGGGACGCTTCTTTGAATTTGTCCTTGATTACTTCATATGGAGCTTCTTTTCCAAATCTGAAATAACAAATGCAAATTATTAATATATTTTTCTACTCACATAGCCAAAATGGCATTTAGCGTTTACGGATTGTCGATCTGTGATTTATTCAAAATATTAAACACGTTACCGTGGCAACACGATTTCTTAAACACATTACCATGGCAACGCAGTTCATTAAACACAGCTTCAGTAATTTGAGACATGTCTGGCCTGCTGTCAATTGTATTAACTACTGTCAACTGTTATTTTCGAATTTTGTATTAGAATTATTCAAACAATTTTCGTTTGTATCAGAATTTTTCATTAAAAATATATGCGAAAAGTAGACGAGAGTGAAATCGAAGAGAATGTTCTGGTACTCGCATATCTCAAAGAAGTGTAAAAATGAAGCATCCATCTTTGAGAACAATTTATTTATTCTGCCCTAAGCACGACAATAAACGTGAAACATAGGTTAGTTAGCAATAATGGACTGGACACATTTACAACCAATATCACTTTATACGTTTCTCGCTGGTTGCATGTATTATGTTCTCAATTCCCATTTCTTTCTAATTATTTTGTAGGTTAGCAGGAATTGCAGGTATGTTAATGTAATTTTCGGAGTTCGTAGAAAAATCATAGTATGTAACGCGTTTATAAACTCTTCTAGAAACTCGTTTATTCAACACTCGCTCCGCTATGCTCCGCTCGTGCTTAAACTACTCGTTACTAAAAGGACGTTTATAACACTTGTTACATAATATACTATTATATAATATATCTAAAACAACTTTGTAGTATTGAAGTTGAACCTGTATGTTAGTGGCATTCAGTCTTGATGACTCATATATCGTATTTCTCACAAAGTAACGGAACTATAAAATATTTGGTGTGATGGTGTGATAATAAAATTAAGTATTAGATTGAGAATGGAATGCAGTTTCATAAGACGAGCCTAAAAAAACATGAGATGCAATCTGAAAAACCAAAATAATTGGTAGTTTCTAGTAGATATTTTTTGTGAACACAACTTACTTTGCTGTGACATCGATGGCTCCTATACAGGGTATTGGAATTTTGATGGCCGCTGATGCAGTCTTGCCCTCCAATTCTGGCATCACCCTGTTAACGAATTCCTGGCCTGATGAACTTTGTGTAGGGCTGAAGCTCGTCAGCGATGATCTGCTACTTCTACAGCTAGTCGCTCCATAAGCATCATCCAGTATTTTATCACTGTTTGTTAGAGGTTGTATTTCTGTTACCATGGCTTGCTATTTCGTGAAAAAAAAAAGAATAGCATACTTCATCATCAATTTTCGATACAAACTCAAGTTTCATTATTGGTGACGCCGCTCCATGCGAGCACAAATTGATAATGGGCGAGTGGACTTATAATGAATTATTGGCTTCAATTACTCCACTATGTTGTTATAGGGGCCTAAATTAATATATTTGCAACATATTTCTCACTTTTTTTATGTAAATAGTGTTACGTTATTCGGGTGCAGAAGCGAACACGACACTATTTATTTTCGAACTGATTTATTTGAACTATAGAAACACTAATTTCTAACGAACTTAGAACTGCTATTTATGTAAAACGATTTATATCACGCGGTATATGACTGTCTTTCTGACACTCGCTGCTCGACTGACTGACGGCAGTTATTCGGCCGTGTATTTAAATGAGATCACTGGGCAGGCTTTGGTTCGAGAACCTTCTCGAATGATCTTCCGTCTCCTTCTTTTTGTTCTAGAAGCTTCTTAGAACAAACCTCTCTCTCTAATTGTTCCATCGATTGTTTCCAGAACATTCCAGAATCTTCTGTGACGTTATCTGTCACCGCGGCATATATTGAGTGTTCGGAAATATGCTAGTGCATGTAGGAATCATTGGGAGGTAGGAGAGCAATCTGGGATGCGTGATACAGGATGATCGTTGTACTCCTGCCTTCCTGCTGATGTTTCTAAGGCCCCTCCAAGGCGAATATCATTACAATAGGTAATGCATGAGTGTATGCGTTGTTCGAAATTGTTGAAAATCGGAGCTGATTTCAAACGTACCGTCCTGGCCACCATTTGGCGATACGTCGAATAAATGGTGACGTCAGCTTTTATAATCTTCCATTCCCACTCATGAAGTAAGAATGTCAAGTCACCAATTATCAAGTTATCAAAAAGATGTGCGAGAGTCCTGTCGTTGAATAAAACATAATAGGAGGAACCAATTATATTATAGTTCATTCTTGACTTATTCGCGAGCAACCATCAGCATGGCCAAATATTTCTTATACTCCATAACAAAATATCATGTAGATGTTGGAGACTTGGCAACATATTGTACTGAATACTGAGAAGGGACAAGACCACGCCCACAAGTCGTGCGCGCCGTGTTGTCACGTTCACCGCTTCAAATGTCCTTTACTGTGAATTAATATAATAACTATATTTACACAAATTTATTATAAGCATTATGCCATAACCCACAAGGGAACATTTTGAGACAATTAATTTTGTATTGCTAAATAGGAATATTACCAATACATAATTGAGAATATATGGAAGTTTGAATTCCCAATCGTATCTCAACACATGTCAACTGTACTATGGTCTGCCCCTACTTACGAAATCGTGACGTCAGTTTTCACTCGCGGAAAATTTCTATCTATGAAATTGAAAGGTATTTGAGTGATGATTCTATTGGAGAAATAAAAAAAATTGTCCACTCGCCTATTGTCTATATAGGACATGATGAAAACCAATAAAAAGTTGCAAAAAAATTGTCATTACCAGCCTGTCTAAAAGGTTAGTTTGTTTGTGTAGGTAGATAAAATCAAGTGTATGGCTGGTTTGGAATTGAGATCTCCTTGTTTACCTGTATTTGGAAATTTTCGTGCAAAACTCTCAAGACAGGCATCACAGCATTCAGAGAAGGGGATGCTGCAGAAACTGTTTTCATGTTCACATCAAAGCAAGCATGGTTGATTCCAACAATGAAGATCGGTACATTCGAACAACCTGTGACTATAACTTTCTTGATACCCTCTGTTAAGAATGCCTGAAAAAAAAAAACGGTTCATTTTGTGAAATGCAAAAGCTACCTATATATACATATACAGGGTGTTTCGAAATTCGATCGACAACGCTTGACAGGTGATAGCCCTCGTGATTTCATAATCACTGAGATAGGGACAGACGGTCTTGAAGTGTTCAGTTCTCGAGATATAGGGCGTTGAAGTTGAGAAATTAAAATAGTTTTTTCTCGATATCTCATGAAAAATTGAATTAAATGCATTCAAATTCGGTATATGGTTTGATCTTCCAATGGTTAATTTTTTGACCAGAAAGACATTCCGAGAATTTTATCCAGAGGTGCGCTACAGAGGGTTGTGATAACTTTTCCGCACATATTTTCTACGCCACTGATGAAATTTCAATTATTTCTAATTTCTCGAATTGATTGTTCAATTATGTTGAAAAAGTGCATCACCTTCAACTAAGCTAAAATGAACAGTTATATCGAGATATTTGACCCAAAATAGAAGTTTGCATAGTAATTTTTCATCTTCCTCAGTATTAGAAAATTACGAACATTTTTGTTCTCTCTTTATGCGTGGAATAACTATTTCTGTTCAGCTATAGCATGAGATCTGAATAGTATCTAATCTACTCAACACCAGAAAAATATTTTTGCAATTTTCTACTACTGAAAATGATGAAATATTACTATGCAATCTTCTATTTTGGGTCGAATATCTCGAAAACTGTTTATTTCAGCTCAGTTGAAGGTGATGCATTTTCTGAACAAAATTGAACAATGAATTCGAGGAATTGGAAATAATCGAAATTCAATCAGTGGCGTAGAAAATATGGAAGGAAAAAATGCCACAACCCCCTGTAGGGCACCACTGGACAAAATGTCCGGAATATGGCTTCCAGGTCAAAAAATGGCCCATTCAAAGATGAAACCATATACCGAAGTTGAATGCATTATATTCAATTATTCTTGAGATATTGCGAAACAACTATTTTCATTTCTCAACTTCAACGCCCTGTATCTCGAGAACTGAACACTTGAAGACCGAATGTTCCTATCTCAATGATTATGAAATCACGAGGGCTATCACCTGTCAAACGTTGTCGGTCGAATTTCGAAACACCCTGTATATGTATCTATCTGTAATGATGAGCACTACCAGTTTCATATTCATATTTTGTTGTACTCACGGATGCCTTATTGCAATTTTGATTTTGTCCGGTTGTGTCGATGACATAGTCAACCTTACACTTTTGCCAAGGAATTTTTTCTATCTTGCTTTCACTTGTGATTTCTACTCTCTGACCTAGACAGAAATATTGGTTTGTATAGTAAACTCAAATTTTTTTAGAAAATGTCATAAGCCAAGTACTTACTATCAATCATTAGACATGAACCCATCTCCACTATCTCCATATGGGATTTTCCATACAGAGAATCATTTTTCAATAAATATCCAAAACAGTCCGGTTTTACATTTGGATCATTCACCATGAGAACACGTGAAACATCTGTGGCACATTTCTGGAAAATTATTAGCCAGCAAGTAAACATATAGTTTATTGTTTGCAATGAAACCTCTGTGTCATTACCTTTTTGCATTTTTCTATTGCTATTTTCAATAACTGTCTACCCAATCTTCCAAAACCATTTATTCCAATTTTAGCCATTTGAACTCGCAATTAGTTTCTACTTTTCGAATAATACCATTACAACTTATTCATGACGCGGAAGTCATCATGCAATGTCAAATGAGACAAGATACAAGTTGTAGATACAAGAAGGTACTTTTGAAAGGGTCAGTCAAAATATATCGAAAAACATTATATCGAAAGACAAAATATCGAAAACAGGGTATTGAAAAACCAAATATCGAATGAAAAAAATATCGAACGGAAATAAATATAGAATTACATAATATCGAAGAGAAAAAATATCGACAAAGTATACAGGGCGTTCCTTAATAATATGGTAATATATTCAAAAGTGGCCGATTATTCGACCTATTTCAAGAATTAAACATCATATGAAGGATCTCGTAATCGTCCTAAGTTTTGAGATACAGGGTGTCAATGTTGAAAATATGCATAGATCTTTTTTTCCACCCTGTATTTTCTCGTGATGGCACAATTCAGTCTGCTATGTGACTTAAACGGTATGAAAATTTGATGTCTGGTTTCATTAATCCGTTTTTTCTCTAAAACGAAGTAGTGTAGTAAATTGAAGACCCTATCGTGTCGTTTTTTTTTTCTGACGTAGAACCAGGTTAGACATGGTAGGTTTTGTTGACCATATCACTAGGTATATGAAATCGTATTTTACGACATTTTTCTGTGGTCTGGAACTTTTTAACTGAGAAAAAACTGAAAAAAATGCACTTTAAATAAAATGTATTTTTTTTTGTTTCCACCGTCATATCTTTGAAATCTATGAAGATATCGAAGTGTTTCTTTCTCTAGGTTGAACTAAACACAATACCGCTTCTAACAGTACCGATGGATTTTACAAAATTTTCTTCTTTCATTTTTCAAAAATCAAGAGAGCATGGAATTCAAAATTTATGCATCACAATTTGCACCAATCGATAAACTTTTTTATTTTTGGAAATTTTTGTATACATATAGCGAAACAAATGGAGCCCATATATGATAGAAGTTTTTGAGCTGATTATTTTTTCCCCATTTTGTATAGTTTAGCAACAATGATTTTTTTATTGCTCGCTCAATATCGGCACGCGCCACCGAAAGACGAGGGTGGATTAGTTTGATGTAAACGGCATTCAGCGTAACATCTACATGCGCCGATATTTATAATAATTTCTCTGAGAAAATGGAGTGTATTATTTGTGGAAATATTGTGCGGGATGATGACAAATCTGTGGTACAAAGACCTAGAATACAAGGATTGTTGTCACTAATAAGTGCTGAGAGGAGACAAGACAATCGGTCAAAAAAAATTCTGTCGCAAAAAAAAAGAATTTTTAATAGTGACCTGAGAATAAAGTTTCACTAAGACTGCCAAAAATCACACACAAGCTTTCAAAATATTAATAGTATTTTGCGAAATGACAGTGAGGCCGGACCCTCAAATTATCCTGGGCCTCGGTTTGAATCACAAACATTTGATATCAGAAAAATGTGCCTTATCAGCAGTAGTACTGGAACAAAAAAAGAGGAAAGTTTGATATCTGTTGAATATTTTTTGTATCGTGTTAATTGTTGATGAGTCTCGAGGTTCATTTGCAAATAAATAATTTCTGATGATCTGAGGCATCTTATGCATTTGAAAAAAAATAATCTGGTTGGGACATTGCTTGACTGTGGACTCCTGGGACAGAAATAAGTTCATTTTAGCCCACTTACCTATATCCAGAATCGTTTCGTTGAGTTGGTACAGGGCGTTAAAGTGCTCACCTTAGGTACTGAATAATATAGTTATCGCTATATTTGTAACACGAGAGTTCTTGTAAAGCCCGCGAGGACCAGCAACATATCAGTTTGTTTACAATAAGAATACATTGTAGACATGATCTGTGACATATTATGTACACCTACACTAGGTTACACTAACCATGCACTAGCACCGATATGTATTGTTCTGTGCCTGGTGCTCTGACTTTGTGATCTGTGATAAAGATGATTAATAAACCAGTTATCATCCAGCAGTCTTTGAATTCAGACGTCCCGTCTCCAACACTCTCCCAAGTCCACACCACATGGCGCAGTCAGGTTAGAAACTAGACAAAAAATTCCGCCATCTTAAAATATTTTGGCGAATTTGTACTCCCAAGCAAATAGAAGACCCAATCGAAAGGAAAACGAGAAACTAAGATATCAAAATGGATTTTAGAGGCGTCCCACCCATGAAAATGAACGGTAATGTAGCAGAAAACTGGAAATTTTGGAAACAGCGATTTCAAACGTACCTGCTAGCGACAGAAATCTCGAAAAAAGAAGAAATTACCCAATGTGCTCAGCTATTAACGTTAATCGGCGACGAAGGTATGCGTATATTCAATACTTTCACTATGCTGCCAGATGAAAAGGATAAAATAAATCCATTACTTGCGAAGTTCGAGAGTCACTTCAGTCCCAGAAATAATTTAACTTACCAAAGACATAAATTTCTAACATGTAAACAGCAAGAAGGAGAATCCATTGAACAATATGTAACAGAATTGAAAAATTTAGCTAATTCTTGTGAACTGGGACTCTTACGAGACTCCTTAACAAGGGACATTCTTATATGTGGACTTAAGTCAGAAACACTTAGGGAGAAGCTACTTCAAGAAGATAATCAGCCTCTAGAGGAAGCAATTAGGCTATGCATCAATATGGAGAAAACAAGGGAACGAAATCGAGAAATTACCACCAATAATAGAGAGAATATACAAGTAGAGGAGATAACGAGGAACTTCAGACCCAAGTATAAGGATAAAAGGGGAATTCCAAGAAAATATGAGGCATCCAGAAGCAACTATCCAAGCAAATATACTACAAGTTACAGCAAGACCAATGAAAGAAGCTGCCGGAAGTGTGGAAACTGTCATGGTTATGGAAAATGCCCAGCCCATGGACGACAATGTTCCAAATGTGGAAACATGAATCACTTTTCTGGAATGTGTAAATTCAAAAATGGCAGTAACAATTCAAATTATAATAAAAATAAAGTAACTTTTAAAAATATTAATACTCTAGAGAATGAATATGAAGATAGTAATGATGACATGCAACCTTTTGTAAACTCCATAGAAAATAGTTTAAATGAAACTAATGATTTTCTCTTTATAGGTAGCATTGAAACGGGGACAGTTTGCAACGTTGAGATGGAGTCATGGGTTGCTGCAGTAGAAATAAATGGTCAGAAGGTAGAAATGAAGCTGGATAGTGGAGCCATAGCCAATGTCATGCCTGTAAGTGTATTTCAAAAAATAAAACTTGATTTCAACAATTTAAATCAAAGTACCATGAAGCTGAGGTCATATACAGGAGATCTTTTGCCAATAATTGGAGAATGCAATTTAGAATGCAGATATAATAATTATACTGGAAAATTCTTATTTCACATTGTTGATATGAATAGTTGTTGCATTTTAGGCCTTCAAGCTTGTGTTAAACTAGGTATGATTCGAAGAATAGATAATGTTCAAGAAGTAGAAAACTTCTCTGTTGAAAATATCCAGTATTTAATAAATAAATATGAACATCTATTCAAAGGAATAGGGTGTCTGGAAAAACCATACCATATTGAATTAAAAGAAAATGCAAAACCTATAATAAACTATGCTAGAAAAGTACCATTTGCAGTTAAAGATAAATTCAAAGAAAGTTTGAATGAACTTCAGAAAGAAAAAATAATTGTTAAAGATGATAACAGTGCGGATTGGGTAAATCCAGTTGTTTTGGTCATGAAACCTGATAAAAAATCAATTAGAATTTGTTTAGATCCCAAATTTCTGAACCAGGCTATTAAAAGACACTACTTTCAAATTCCAACTATAGAAGACTTGACAAGCAAATTAACAGGTTCAAAAATATTCAGCACATTAGATGCAACACAAGGATTTTTGCAGATCAAGTTGGATTTTCAAAGCTCTAAACTTTGCACTTTTGCAACCCCATTTGGAAGATACCGATTTTTAAGGTTACCTTATGGTCTGATCAGTTCATCTGAAGTATTCCAAGAGCGTATGACTGAAATCTTTGGTGACATAGAAGGTTGCAGTGTTTACATAGATGATATAATAGTGTATTCAAAAACTGTAAAAGAACATGAGAAATTGTTAGAACTAATTTTTAAAAGAGCAGAACAATTCAACATTAGATTCAACAAAAATAAATGCAAATTTGGTTTAAAAGAAGTCAGATATATGGGTCACAAAATATCTGAAAAAGGTTTAACAGTTGATGATTCAAAAATAGAGGCCATAAAAAATATGCCCCCTCCAAAAAACTTGAATGATTTGCAAAAATTCCTTGGACTAGTAAATTATGTAGGTAAATTTGTAAAAAATCTTTCAGAAAAGACATCAACATTAAGAATATTATTGATAAAAGGAGTTGAATTCATTTGGGACAAAGATCAAATAGAAACTTTCAATAATTTGAAAAAGTTGATATGTCAAACACCATGCTTAAGATTTTTTGATCCAAATGAAGAAATCACGATCTCTGTAGACGCATCTCAGAACGGGATGGGTGCATCACTTTTTCAAAATGGCATACCTTGTGCTCATGCATCAAGGGCTCTAACAGAAGCGCAAAAAAGATATGCACAGTGTGAAAAAGAACTATTAGCCATATGGTTTGGATGCGTGAAATACCATCAGTATGTATTTGCAAAAAAGTTCATAGTTGAAAGCGACCACAAACCATTAATATCAATAATCAAAAAGCCAATCAATGATTGTCCTGCTCGCTTGCAAAGAATGTTAATTCAACTTAGAAAATATGAATTTGAGTTAGTATATAAACCAGGAAAACATTTGATTGTGGCTGACACATTATCCAGAATATATGAAAAGAAATGCTTTGAAGAAAATATCGATCTGGAACTAGATGCTCAAATATGCTTAATTGCAAATAACTTGAATGTAACACAAGAAAAAAGAAATCAAATAATAAACTTCACAAAACTAGATCCAGATTTGATAACGCTAAAAAATCAAGTT